TATGTTGTAGCTTGATAGGGCTTTATAAGGTACCTTCTCGAAAAGGCGCTACGCAGCGCCTGCTCAGGGTCGCGGAATTTTATCCTGCCAGGCGTATTAATCCTCTCGTCTTAGGGACTTAACGTGCCGAACTGCCTTTCAAAAGAAGCCGAAAATAACCATTCTCGACGTGCTCATTAAACTTCAGTCTAAGAAACCAACAAGTAGTACACCCATGTTTCTTGTCATATTTTGTCTGTACAAACCAGACTATAATGGAAAATTTTTCATTCCAAAATTTTGCATGGCAGAAGGAAAAGAAATAAAATTCAAGCATTCCTAGCAGTTCTTTGCGACTTTGCTGAATTTTTCAGTACAGTTAGGTTTGTACAAATAATTTATGCCAAGAAATATGGTTGGGCTACTTGTTGTTGTTGTTAGCAGCGTTAGTAAGTCGATGCAGCAGACAGGGTACAGCATCGTATGGGTGAAATGGTGGTGTCAGTACGACCCCCGCCCCTCTCGAGGAAGGGACTTGGTACGACCCCCTCTTCCCAATAACCTACTTAGGAATTTCCCCACAATTTCCACTTTTCCACCCAAAGATTTTCCGTCGAGCTGGGGGAGGAGTATCAGGAAAATTTCTTAGATTACCCTCAGCTTTCTGTGCTTTTTGTGGGATTTCCCGAAAATTTTCCTACTTTTTCCCAAAAACTCTGCTGTTCAGCCGGCGGGGGTGGGGGTGGAGAGATCACACCAAAAGTCAACAACCGGTCAACAACCGGGAAAATTTCTTCCCAGCGCGGCAAATTTTTCTCAAAGCCACATACAACGGTCCCCCTCCCTCTCCCAGCGACGAACGACCAAATCCCTCTCCTCAGCGGAAAAGTAGGACTCTATACGTATTTCTCACAGCGATGATGCTGTACCCTGACAGCAGAAGGTAAATATGGAGACTGGGGGATGTTTGGACTTCCCAAATTTTGCTTTTGCGCTCTATGTGTATGGAAATGTCTGGTCAAGTCACCATGAATTCCCAGAAAGCTCATCTAAGGACTATGCCTGCACGGAATCGGTTCCTAAGGCACTTTTATCACAGAGTTCGTGGAGGTGACATCTGAAGCAGCGTACGGACTTCGCGATGACATGCGTCAAAGCGCTACGACGCGCACTATCTTGAAGTCTGAACGCTGTTTAGGAGTCCCTCCCCATTGTGGAGCACCTAACCCTTGAAGGCACTCTGTTTGTGGGCGAAGACAGTAACAGTGGTGTCTTTCCGCCGGGACTGTTGAGGTGGATGCGAGCCAGTGAGGAAAGCAAAGTGATTGGCAGCTCCTTTCAAGCTTCCGCCTTACGGAAAACGTAGGCTATGCCTTTCAGCCTGCACGCATAAGTCGTAGTAGAAGAGTGGTAGTGTTACTTGAATCAGAAGGAAATAAGCGACAAATACTTCATGCACATAATGACTTGGGGGGGTTCTATATCAACCGAAGGAATCGGGCGTAAAAACTGGTACTTCAACTGAGAGAGCAATTGGTCCACACCTGTAGAAGTCGCAGTTGGAGGCTGTGAGAAGCACCGTTCATGCTGATCATAGAGGGGCTAAGGCCCATTACCCTTAGCAGATCCCCCTTGTTGATCGCCTTTGAATGGAAGGGGCGCCAATGAGGAGAGCACAGTGGTAGTAGTAACTCTGCCTACTCGGTCAGCGTGGCCGTTCTTTAAAGAAGAGCGTCCAGTGTTGAATATCAAATAATGTGCGTAGCTACAATAGTGATAGCTAGTTGTAAGCGCTTACTGGTAAGCACCGTATCCTGTAAGTTAGTTGAAACTCTACGTAATGATAAAGGCTGGTTAGGAGAGGACTCGATAAAGCTCTTTGCTGCGTTTTTTATCTTAATCACATTTAGTCCGAACCCAGTATAGTCCCCGTTATTACTTTACGACATCCTTCAACGGTTGGTTGACGCTTATTGACTAACCGCAACAGTGATCCAGGGAATTGGTTTTTCCCCAGGAGGGATAGATTTTGTGTCCACCTGCACCTCCAATTGCCAATATTTGACGCCAGGCACCACCGCCACCACCTGGGGGCCAAGTAAAAGTAGAGGCTGATTGAGCTGCTGGAAACATGGAACCTGCAGCTTCCGTGTAGGACAAGGATCCTGTGTGGGCTGAGCTCCACCGGCTAGCAGGAGCCACTGCAGATACTTCACCAGCAAGGAGCTACCTTACAGCAGTTCAATAGCAGAAGTCCTCCCGGTGTTGCTCCTCAGGTAGGGTAGTCACTTTGATGCAGGCTTCATTGCTGTTCACTCGTCGAGCTCACTAAAAGGGCAACCAACAGCAGTCATGGCAGAAGAAGCGCCTGCACCAGGGACTGCTGTCATTGTTGAAGCTCCTGCAGGTACTCTTCCTAGGGCAGTCATTGTTGAAGCAAGTTTTATAGCTGTCATCATAGCTTTTTATTCAAATAATGTAAGTGTAGATTGTATTACAACCAGCTAATGACGCGACTTCTTCATAAACGCGTTTTAGTCGAAGTTCTGCTAACCGCAGTCGATAAGAAAAGCCACTCGGTTCCGTCGACGTTCCTTGAGAACCCATTCACAAGGTTTTTGGCTGCTTTGATGGAACCTGAATCACTTGCGAAAAGCGCTATCATCAATTATGTCTAGCACGGAAATGAATTCCAACAAAGGAATGTATCGCTTAATTCAAAAATATATTTTCAGCAGTCGCGAACCCAGTTTCCGGTAAAAGTACTCATGGCGAGAAGGTGAGCTCATTCATTCATAATGGAAACTGAAATGAAACGGGAAATTTTAGCAGGATAAATCCGAATTTGAGATCAAGAAAGATCAGCGATTGCCTGATTCTCAGCTGACAGTTCAAATACCCCGTGAACATCCCTCCTACGATCAATTCATCGCCAAAGTTGTCGACGTTTCTCCATCGATGTGAGTGAGACTTGGCATTTCAGTGACAGACTCGAATGTTCTATTTTTTTCACCCTCATAATTTTCAGAGATCCATCAATTCGAGACGTGAAATAGGACATTCTTGGCCTCGCTAGATAGCTCCGGCACCATTAGAATTCACACACTTCAACCGGGTCATAAGTACAGGTAATTGGGTTTTGAGTTCAGCAGACTGCTCATACAGACCCTCTTCTCACTCGTCCCGGGCAGGCTCTGTTATTTCCCGTCCAGTGAAGACCTAGCAAGAACGCTTTCTTTATTTATTTTTGTTTGCTTTTTTATGTTTACCTATGAGTTTTTGGCTAATTCTGCTATGTTGTGACAGTTATCATCTATTATCTCTGTCAAAATTGTCAGTATTACTGCCACAAGATTTCTGATTTCTATTATATTATTCTATTTCGACCTTGCCATAGCCAGGATTTAAACCAGAGTTCAACGTCTTCGAATAAAGGGGCGGACTTCATCAGTTACACCCTAGCTGCAAATTCGGCTAAAGTTGCAGTCTAGGTTGATTGTGTGGGCGGACCCAGTAAGCCTATGTGTACTTTTTCAGTAAAGGAAAGGGCGTACCGATGAGTAAGCTACAGTGTCGCGCGTCTTCTCCCATATGAGTAGGGGGATGCCGGCGCATTTCGGCTTGGTGGGGGCACTTTGCTACCTCTGATCGATTACTGCCGAGTCCTTCTGCGGAGACCTGTAAATTCCTGTGAAGCTATGCAATAGCATGATCTTCATTTACACTTGACAGAATTCTCTACGTCCTACGAAGGGGAGACGTGTAACTAACAGAATTCCGCAAAAAAACTAGGACAATGTAAAATGGCCCCTCCTCCGAAGCCGAACAGCGCCAATGGTGGCTTTGAAATTATTATTACTTGTTTGAAGAATAAAAAGCTGTTCAGAAGGTTTCGTCACAGCCCAAACTCTGCACCTATAAAAGTTCTAAAAGTTATAGTATAGTATTTATAGTATAGTGTAGTTAAGGGTATAAAAGGTATAAAAGTTTTCGATGCTGATTAATCGCTTTCGTGATGCGCCACGCATTCTGCTTCCCTTGGCAATCCTATTGGCATTCTGTGTACGATTTGGCCTCTGCAGCGAAATGCAGGGTTGGCCCATCCGCAACTCTCCATCAGTGTCTCTTTTCTTCAGACAATTACAATATTATGTCACCGGCCTCAGGAGGGTTGAGGCTAACTTGTGCCGAAGTGGGGGGATCGCGTCCAGAATTAGAGTCCGAGGTGTAAGCAGGCGCATTTATGCTACAAAATCTAACTCAAATCTTTCATGAACGTCAGAGAGAAGAGTGTCTTGAACAATAAAACTTTTCTAAGCCGCTCCAACGCTGGATCGACTTGTGTACAACATGAGTTCCAGAGAAAAGCGAAACTTTAATGCGCAGTCCTCTATATTCACAATTGATGACATGATCTGAATAGTACCGTAATCTTTGGCTCGTATGCGTTGTTTATAGTTCCATAAGAATCTGAGTGTAAACGAACGACTAAATTTCGCCGATCTAAAGGCCAATCTCAACATCTATGAGTCATTAACCTTTTTCCACTGGTCTATTACTAGTATAAGGATTCAGCTGGGAGTGAGTTTCAGATGAGAACGATGTACAAACTGGATTCGATCGATTCATCACTGAACTGACGTCTATAGTAACAGAACAAATGGCGTTTTCAACAAGGCTTCTTAGCAGACAAATGGCGGACGTTTTCAACCAAGTTCTATTTACACTATCCAGTCGGATCGCCGCCGAAGGCGGGCGTCCTCCTTACGCGTTGTGAAGTGGGTCCCTGGATTAACCTACGAGGCCGCCGTAGTGGACGTTATGTAAAATTTTCGTAAAGTCACAAGGAGTGAGGAAAGTGGAAACGGAGTATCAGTGGAAAAATTTGAGTTGCTAGTATGGTGTATTTGGAATTTTGTCGATGCTAGGAATAAGATAACAGAGTAAATAAGTAAAATAACAAAATAAATAATTACAATAAGTTATAATGTTTCGATTTCTTGACTCATGGTTCACTACTATGTCTCATTTGGTACTTGAAGACAAAAATTAAACTTTTGCCTGACTTTGCTGAGGTCTTCTCCCCTTACTTTTGTCTGGCTTCGGCTGTCGCTCCATTCAAGACATACAGCCATCCTATGGGCGTTGCTCAGGATAGGTATTAAAAAACTTATACCATGGCCGTTCCTTCCGCCGATTGCAGCCATTGTGGGCGGCGAGCTAGAGTTACCTTGTAGGGTTTCTGTATAATATTTCCCATGCCACAAACCATTCCCAAGCTTGATATCCGTTCGCAAAGCTGAAATTTTCCAACACGTGCCAATTTTTCGGGTGAACACGCAACATCAAACACAAAACTTTCTGCTTTATATATAGAGAAGGATATCCGAGATAGGCGGCGGTCGGTTCTTGGCATTGTGAGCACGCTCACCATACAGCAGGTCCGGAGAAACAAATTCCTGATTCGGGTTTTCGCCCGTTGAAATCTGAGCTCGCTGACGTGTAGTTTTTTACGGTACAGAATTCGGCCGGGGAGGATTAGGGGAGAATAGGAACACTGCCTTGATCCCATAGGGAATTGACACCCCCCCCCCAGGACTACCAACTCGATTTGTCCGGTATGATCGTTTTAGGTAAGTATTACGATATAGTGGAAGGAGAGCTCAGTTTTTCGAAATGGTATTATGCGCAGACGCAGCCAGTCAGTGTAGACGGGTTTTTCCATGGGTGATGGGGAAAAATGAATAATAAAAAAACTCCCTCCAAAATCCGTTCATCCCAAGCGACCAAACACAATCCCCTGCAGGGTTTCGCACAACAATGATACCTTGGGTGGGGCGCATTTGGGGTTAAGCCTTATTCATAATACGGCCCTGTTGGGCTTGGGAGGGACATTTTCATATTTCAATAGTTCATGTTACATGAAAAGTGCCATTTAGCTGTACCCTGTGAACTTTTGCGATGCTGCGAAAAGGTGAAAATGAACCAGCGGTTAAGGAACTCATAGATATTCAGAAGGTTTCCTCCCTGAATACCATTGCTACCCCCACAAGGCTGATCTGCGCCCAGGAAAGTATGAGATGGGTCTCTAGAAGATTTCAATGGAAAGAAAGATGAGAGACAAGACCCGAAAAAAACCTATTTCGCTTTCAGTGTGTCCATAGTCGGTCGTCGAGGTGAAAATTCGTCGGTTATCAAAGAGGAGGCAATCGTGATGGATCCACGAGTACCACAATTCACCACACAAGACTCCGATATCACCATGCACAATATCACCTTGAGAGCCGTTAAAAACGAGAAGTTTCTACAGGTAAGAGCTTGAAGGCACGGTCCGCAATCAGGTATCAAAGTTGAAAATATGGCGTCAGGAGGTTAGAGTGGTCCGTGGTGAAAACTTTGACGGGTTCGCGGCAAAACATCTATGTAGAAGAAGGGCCGCTATTACGCATATAGTCTCGTGGTTTCCTGACCTGTTTTCCAGTAACTCCGTTCCAGGACTCCTCTCCAATGGCCCGGCTTTAGATAAAACGAGCATTGCAGGACGAAAAAACATGAAAACCGTCACTAGTGCTGTCGCACAAATCTTATCGGTGAATCAGCTGTGCGCACGAGGGCGTAGTGTGGGAGATAAGTTAGTTGGACACGTACAGCTGGAATCAAACTAGGGTCCTATCTAGGACAGGTGGCAGGTTTTTTGTGCTTCTTCTCTTCACTGTCGAGTTTCTCAACCCACTGTCGTATATAGAATCCCCCTAATCCGCTATCTGAGATGGCGAATAATCGTGGGTTCTGCCTTTGAGAGCAGCAGAGCTGGGAAAGACTTGGGACCCACGATATCAGACTATTTATTTCGAAAGATTATTCCTTATTACTTTGAATGTTGATTCTTTTGTGTATTTTTATTTTCAGCTTTATTTTTTTACACAGTTTCTCTCTTCTTGCTCCCAAACTTTGTTTCTTTTCACCTTCATGGTAGAGTTCTTCTTTTTCGATTCTGTTTGCGTGATGTTTTAAACGCCCCCAACGTCTCTGCACTTCTCTTTACCAGTACCTCTCCAAAGTTTTTGTCCTTTTTTCTCTGCAGTGGACTCTTTCCCATTGTTCTTGTGCATTTTCTTTGAAGTTCCTTGAGATACCTTTATTGATTTAGCCCACTCTTGTTCACCATCTACCTTTGATTTCCCTGCTCCACTCTTAACGTCTTTCTCTGAAAAAAATCATTCTTCCTCGCATCAACAATTTCTTTGCAAGTTTCTTCCCTTAAAAGCTGCCAGTTCCCTGCGTTCGCTCCACTTCACTGCGTTTTTCTATCCTCCTGTCCTGTTCCTTCTTCTTTTTTATTTTTCGGCGCCAACAACCTTGGGGCGTTCGAAGGAGTTCTGGAACAAAACTGGAACTAACATCTTTTAAATGGAAGTTGTACTGCCCTTCAAACTGATTCACTAGCCCCAAAACTCCTCTTTTCTTGAGCTTGGGCAAAAGTCTTCGCCCCCAGAATCGCATTTTTGAACAACTATGCGTTGGAAGATCGTCGTTCCCCCCGAATTTTCAGCGCCCATTCACAGGCATGTTCCCTGCAAGTCAATAGGGTATGCGAAGGGCGTGGCTTGGAGCGCAGCCATGACAGCCCTCGCCAATCGTAGCGATTGTATCAAAAATGAGGAAGAGAGAGCCGGAAATTGTAGAAAATTTTGTTGTATAACCACTACTCGGTGAGGCTGAGCGATAGTACGGATATGGAAAATGATCGCGCATCATTCACATTGCTACTAGGTGTTCCTCTACACATTAAAGACAGAGCCCACGCTGACTATATGGGCGGAGGCAGCCAACATTTGCACTTGTTTGATAGGCGCGTCTCTCTTCTTCACCAGCTTGGAGTGTACCAGTGAGGAAGACACACTGGCTGACTTTCTCTTACCATCACGTGTGCGGAGCCTTTGGGGGTTTATTACGTATCTCACACCATTTTTACTGATTTTTTTCCCGAAAATGTCAATTTAAAATGTTTTTGAGGGCAATGTGACCGTAGGCAGCGGAATTTATTT